CCCCCCATAAACAAATTAAATGACCAACTAAAACTGAAACCTTAGATAAGATACTCATATGCAAACCTTTTTCCGTTATCGCCTGCGCAAAGTCCTTCACACTCTCAGCCTGAACGAATGCACTGCTGGGACAAGTAAGCTCAACGTCTTTATCCACTGAACACACGTCCACCAATATTGCATCGTATTTTCTTCCTGGAAATGAAACATGTGCTTCCATGAGATCCCGGCTGATGGCAGTAGGTAGCTATTACCTTCTCTTACAGCCATATGTATGAACTTAGCTCCATCCATCGTGTAAACCCGTTGTCGACTATCTAACACGAGACCAAACCATTTACGGGCGATTCGTACCATTTTTGGTTCAATCTCTACTCCTGTTAGATTCATCTGGAAATAATGTGTCGCAGTTGAGTGAAATTTTATTTGCTCCAAGCCCCACCTTTGGGAATGTAGCGTGAAGGTGGGAGTTCAAATATCCGGCTCCAAGACCGACTATAAGCACATTAGCTTCTGCTTGCCGATTCATTCTGACTGCTCCACTTGTGAACATTTCCTCTAAATAATTGTTAGCCCATACCTTCATTATCTTGGCTCAAACAATTATCCGCGTTCTTCATAAGCCCGTTCTCGAAAAAAAAAGTTTTCGAGCTTGTTATCGTCAATCGGGCGGAAGCAGTTTGGTGACGAGTGGGGAACAGTGTCAGACAGATGGTTCTGGGATCGAATCCCGCATCAACACCCGCTCCATCTAACCAAGTTTTCCGTGATGGCGAGGTGGGTCAATTGTTGAAAGACTAGTCTGGGAGGATAAATGCACTGACTTGTACATCACTTAGCCACGTCCAGTCATTGTATAGGCCAAATACACATCCGAATGGCTCCTATGGCATAGTAACCGCAGGGTTTGGTCAATCGTGGAGAATGCTCTTTGCCATCCCAATACATGAAAGAGGACCATTTTAGAAAAAGCGGTAGCGGCAGAAATGATCCTCAAATTTGAGTCAGCCCATTACGTTCAACTTTACAGCTGCGTAAAGGTGGCACGAAGGTAGATATAGGAGCAAAAAAACAAAATCGTACCTATCATTACTGGAGTGTAACAGTAAGAGTTCAGTGACGTTTTATCCAGTTCCCACTTCGTAGTATCTAGATGTTCTTTGTCGTATTCTGAAATTCCTGCCATAGTTCAACACTCCAGGTTAAAGTAATTTCAGCACTTCATATGTAAACAATAAGTCGCGGATCACTGGAATACAAAGGGAAGGAAATGAAATTGAAAGATGGTCCAGTGGGTCGCTCGTGATGATCTAGTTTCTGGGTGTTTCTCCGACTACTTCTTACCTACCAGTAGTCTAGAATTTCTCGCCTTGACCGTACATTGTATTAACCGATAACGGTGTCCATGAGGGAACACTCGTAGTATAAGACCCTTTGTGAACTCCAGGAGCAGAGAAGGAGAGCAAAGCATGCTAGAGCAGGCCAGACGGCCCAACTATTTAAATATCATCTTTAGTTACCAAAGCTTCCAGGATTTCCTTTTCCACCGGGACAAGGAAGGACAAAACAAAATTGGTTAAAGGCACAGTTCACGATAATTTTGGATAATCCAGGTTATTATGAAAAGTGGAAGACAAGGTGAAAAATAGTGCGATGAAGGTGGAGAAACTGCGTAAATCGGTGTTTCTGAAAAGGCTTCGGAAAACCGTTAAAAAGGGGGATGGATGAGAATGAGACCAGAAAAATGAAGAAGAGTGGGGCGTTCGGACGAGCTATACAGTGTGTCTCCCTGCGTGCGTGTGGGTCCTGGTGCGAATAACAGACGGTAAACGGAAATGCATTCACTCGTAAGCATAAGTAAACAAAAATACCCTCGTAACAGCAAAAGTAGCTCACCTTTTTCAGTCTCTAGGAGTACGAAATTGAATTAGGGATCGCGACAGCTAAAAGAATAACAGAGAATAAAAGAATGGGACAAAAGCATCGCTACATCACTAGGCGATCAGCTGATTGTGTGTGGGTCCTAGAACTAATAGTTGCAATCTCTATGTCTGACGTGATGACATGACATCGATCGAGAGGCGGGAAAATCATTGACGTTCCCGCGCATTGAATTATCGTGAACTGTGCCTTTAATCTCTTGCTGTTGATCGAGACATGTGAGCCCTTCAGTCAGCGCATTATGTGGTGTTAGACAGTGGCAATAGAAGTGTTGTCTTCTCTCCAGGCCATGTTGGTGTTGCAATCGCCATCGGTCCACTACCCCCACTCACAAAAGGTTTAATAGATAGATAGAAGTCAAAGGTGTTCTTTAGAACTGACACCGTGATTCAACTCGAGAAAGGCACCTTGATAGTCGAGAATGATCTAGAACTACGATATGCTCGTTTTTGGATTCCCGATGGAGAATAGAAAGTCTCTCCACTTACTTTCGACTTTTGATCGGTATCCATGACCAACCAAGCTGTAGTTGTAGAACGTTCTTGGAGAACTAACGGTAGAAAACTTCAGAAATAACTTCTTACCAACCGAGTGTCATAAGTTAATATAGGCTCCTGCATTCAGCTCAAGGATACGATGCTCATCAAATTGTACAATAGTATGAACTCACGTATTCTTCCTCAGAAACCTGCTGCACCCCGCCACCCTTATTTCCGAGATAGTGCTCCCCGATCAAACCCCGCAGTGTGTTTGGTCGGGAAGCAGTCCCTGTGACAATTAGGATGAAAGAGTGCAGCAGATTTCTGCAGAAGAATAGGAAGAAAACTTGGATTTTGAAAGATCACACGAATCAACTTTGCCGGCATCAGACCAGCTCAGGTTTTTTTTGGGACATAAAGTGATACCCATGTGCTGAGGTACTGCGTCGAATGGGAAGTGCCTCCTATCCAGTAAATTGGCAAGTTAAGGATGGTTTTCGGTTCCTCTTAGGCTAACCTTATGGCAGTGAACAAAGGGCATGTTGTACACTGGTCGCAAAAGATCTTTTAAAACGGGGCCATTAATGTTTCACATTATCGCATCCAACAGAGAAGAGTGTTCGGACTGGGCACGAGTCAGTACACGCCATTGTCACCGCCAGAACGTCTCATTTGAGAAGACTAGATATTATTTACGTTAAGAATGAAGGGCCCACAATCAGTCGACTAATCGAACTTATTTCGGCGAGAAGATGATGAATTGGGCCAATCTACACCCGTTACTCAGGTCTGAGATGAAGACTTTTCAAAACTTCATAACACTCACTTTCAGGTAGTTTCAAATTCATCGTTGTGAATTGCGTATCCTTGTAAACAACAGCTCGAATAAATTTGTATCTTCAAAATATCAAAATAAGGTCTCAGTCACGAAAAAAAACTGAAATGTCTAGAAACCTGTTTTCTTCCTCCCATATTACATCTTGAACGGACACACATACATTTTCACTTTCCAAGCATATTGATTTTTCGCTGTAGCAAAGGAATATTCATTTCAAAATTAGAACTAATGTTGTTCTAATGATGAATCACTCACAGCTCTCG